CCCGTACACTGCTGCCTGACCGTGGTGAGGTATTCGTAGGAACAAACGTTTCAATCCTAAAACTACTTAAATGTACCGTAGCAGTTGTGCACAATATGTTGCAACTTTTGTGCTCATGACGCGGTTGCATTGTCATAACGATGTAAGTTATCATAATTGCTTCTTCGACATTCATAAGGTCTTCCAGCAGATATGGCACAAAATACCAGGCGATGATGAGAAAATGAAGCAAACGAATTGTAATTCTGCGCAGCGCTCTCTGAGGATTCAGGAAGCTTGACTAAAATATCATAAACGTTTAATAAATTTCACCAGATGACCCTCAGTGTCCTACAAAGTTGCTTGCGGTCATTTGCGTTGGTTAATGTCACTTTGGAGTTAATCATTAAAGAAAGAAAAGGAAATTTGTTCATCGTTGGAGTGTCGGTCTTCCTTCATTTTCATGAATGTGCTATTTTGGCGCCCTTCTTTTCATGAAGTGGATGGTGCGGTGCTGATCTCCGTTTCTGTGCTATCAATCAGGACTGCCTCATTTTAAAGGCAGAGTCTACAGCCATATGATAAGCGTAGCGTGTAGTCTCATGTTTCCTTCCCACATAGGGGTACTATTTTATCAATCTCGGAAGGAAGAAGGGCGAGTGACCCTACCGGTGCTTGAAATCATGTCTTATCGGTTCTGAATTTGACACTCTGCAAATGACTGAGCGACTCCGATCTGCAGCAATGTGTGGTAAATTCCTTGTTCAAGGATTTCCTGGTTACGGCAAAGATTGCCTTCGAGCGGAGTAGAACCCGATACCTCAAAGTTCGAAGCATACCTATTAGATAACTGTCAGTTAGCCACACAGGGCTGAAGGATGCTTGGGAGTGTTTTACTAGACCTATATCAGTTGGTGGCCGGCGGTCAGCATTCATAGGTTCGCAAAAGCGCTGATTTATTTTTGCTTGCAGGTACCAGGATGGAATTCTTAGATCTTGTTGATAGGTATTGCGCTATCTTGTCAACTTTGTGCATGAACATAAACGACGAACTCAGGTAAAGAGATGAACTGGTCACAGGTGGAGAGGAAGAATTTGCAGGTACGGTAGAAGAAATGAACCTGAAACATGTTCAAAGATTCAGATTACTTGACCTATTGGTAATTATGAGGTGACATCTTTAATTAATAACCAGACTGAAATAATAACAACAGCGACGGAATGGGCCGATTCGGCGCGAGACGCTTCGGCGCCGATCGATAGTCGTTATCAACTGCAGTCCTGTGGCGCACGTTTGATTCTGTATGATTCAACCGTAGTCATCTCCATCAACTGTAACATTCAACCTTGCAAGTTATATTTCTATGAGACGCTCTCCGTGAGCACAATGTGAGACTTCTGTCAAACTAGTGAATTTCAACGGTTCTAAGATTTCGTTCACTATTTATATATTCATCTCGCAAAAAACAAAAAAGAACAAAAACACAAAACGTCTGTCAAATTAGTTGCGAAATTGCCCAATTATTTAACAAAATTTAAATTTGTTTAAAGTTTAAAGTCGAATTTTTATGGAAGAACGACGAGCTGATGTGTAAAATGACTTTGTTTTTATAGCAAAATTTATATGCAATAGATAACATTATTGCGCCTGTTCGTAATTGTTCGTTATCCCACGAAATTATTAAGACTATCTCTATTATGATAGTCAGTTACAATTTTTAGGTAAGCCACAAACGGGAAGACAACGCATAAAATAGTCTTTAATTAGGGACATCTGAAGTTTCGGACCAAGCTTGGTCCGAAACGTCAGATGTCCCTAATTAAAGACTATTTTATGCGTTGTCTTCCCGTTTGTGGTTTATATAAAGACTTTATCACCCTCCCGCATAAAGAAATCATGTACGATTTTCAGTCAGTTACAAGTGATTGTATTTCGTCCGCATCCCGATATTTCTTCAACTTTACTAGTGGTCGATGTCCGGCAGCAAGTTATTCCTAGCAGATTTCGAGGCCCTTCTAAACTTTACGGAGCCCATCAATCAGCTTCCATACCAACGGCTTGATATTCCCAACTCGGAGCTCACGAAGAGCTTCTCATGGATATGTAACGCTGTGGTTTCCATATTACAATTGATCAATACCTACTATGCTACGTAGACAAGGTTGCTCGTTGTTCTTTTATGAAAGGTTCACTTTGAAGTTTAATAAAATTTAAATTTTGTGAAATAATTGGGTAATTTCGCATCTAATTTGACATACGCTCTGTGTTTTTGTTTTTTTTGTTTTTGGGAGATATTAATACATAGATAATGAACTTCTGATGATGAACTAAATCTTAGAACCTTCGGAATTCATTAGTTTGAAAGATGTTTCACATTGTGTTCACCGAGAGCTTCTCATAGGTATATAACTTGCTAGGTTCGATGTTACAGCTGATGGAGTGATCACGGTCCAGTCATATGGAATCAACCGCGCGCCACAGGACTGTTCGATGATAACGACTATCGATCGGCGCGAAACGTCTCGCGCCGGAAAGTCATAGACCGCAGCAGCGACGCCGCTACTGATCTGGAAGAGAAACATCCTTTTCTTTTAAGCTAAGATTAACTTATTTTGCGGCGTCTGTAAAGTCACCCAGTCTGTATAGCTATAAAACCTGGACACTTACCCAGAAACGGAATTTTGGCATTCGAAACGAAGTAATGTCAGCATCTTCTGTTGATTCTTTACACCCGTCATAAAACTTCTGATCGATCTGAATATAACGATTTAAAAATTGGTCGGTGATCAAGATGCGTTACTAAAAACTGTCAGATGCCGATAATTGCAATACTTTAGCTCTTTGGGGCAGCAGTGGTGTTGGAATGGGACAATGAAGCAGAGGAAACTCGTTTGCCTTAGCGCATTAGTGATGCGGGTTCGAGTCTAAGCCGGGCGTGTAATTTTATTTTAGCTGCTGTTTCGTTTGATCATCGTGAGTTGATCAAACTGAAAACTTTAAAATGTATAAAAAGTTTATTTATGCACAACGCAAGTAGACAAGTTGGTAAAACGGGTGCTTGACCAGTACCGTCGCTCTTAGGGACTTTCAGAGTTGACTGAGTTGATTTCCGTTCCAGACGTCACAACAGCTGAGGAGCACAGAACCAATAGCGCAAATCACCCCGGACTATTCTAAAGAAGGCCCGTGAGAGAAGAGCTCAAAAGTTGGTACTGATCAATCACCCGATTGTAGTTGCAACCTACCAACTTGTTTAATTGCATTGTATACAAGTATTCCGTTTTTATACGGAAATAACCTTGAACGAATAATTTCTTCCCTGTGCTTCCGTGGAACCATCCGAACAACGGGTACCACGATCTGCAATTAGTTTTGACAGCGTTGTGTTCCTGCTTGGCCATGCCAGAGTTTGTCAGACTTATGGCAGTGCTCTCTGTTGCATGTTTTTACGGCTGTACTCT